TTAGTATACACCATAATTCATTTGTTTACTATTTCTTATCGTTAAGTTTGGTAAGCTTTTGCTCTATTTCAAGGAGCACAACCAAAAATTGCTGCGGTAAAAGCATTTGCGCTATTTTATCGAATCAGGCTGCACCACCTCTGTCCACAGTGTTGGAAATTCTGCAACTTTCTTTCTTCAAGAAGGTGATATAAACTTCAAATGCTGTGATTCCAATCGGATGATTAAAGAGACAAAGAAATAATAGCAAGAATCTTCGTTTTCGACCATCTGGTTGAGCGTACTTTCCTGTTATACGGGAGTATTTGTGGACTGGAGTGCACGGGTGGTCACCATTCTCCCGTACTTACATCAGTTTGAAAGTCCTTGACCTCAAATTGAACAGTAGTGTTTAAAGTGTACCTCTTCGTGATGTTTATGTTCCGCGATGTTCGAAAATTGGGCGGTAAAGTAGATGACACAAGTTCCGAAAAGTAACATCAAAATACGGACTCTCTTCCGTAGTTGCTGACATTCTCCGCAGAACAAATGCACAACTCATTATGCGTCTACTATGTGATGATCAGAAAATCTATCCCTTATAATCGGTCCCCTGACCAACACCACATAAATAGACTGGTAAATGAAACCGTTTAGGCGCACTCATAGGGAAATCGCTGGAGCACCTCTTGAGGCCATCTTTTTGCTTCACATTCTGAACAATTTTGATTAACTTAGTAACATCAATCACTTTTTAAACAACGTTTAACAATATGATCTTTTTTAGAGCAGAAATCACACCATTGAAGGCCTACATACTTGTGCTTTTGGGCTCATAATACAATTGTAGGGCTCTTAAGCAGTGGGTTTTAGGATGAAATGTGGTGGTTAGTGTATGGCTACTTCTTATAAGTTGTGATCCACCATATTTTCAACTCAAATATCTTTAAAACATGCGCTGATTAGGTCAAATCTTTGATCTATTTTATGCGTGGTGAAAATTATAGTGGAAATTACAAGGCTGATGACTCTCTGGAACTAGCTGCTTTAAGAATAATAAGTAGCCATATTGAAATTTCCATAAGTCTCAAATAATGTATTTGACCACGTCCCACTTAATTTTAAAGAAATCTAACAAATTCTAATCCAAGGAGATAGTATAAATGTGTAAAATAGTAGGTAGTGTAATAGGTAGCATTACATCCTTGTGAGCAGTACTGAAGGCTACAAATACCATCTGTGAAATTCACTGACTAGCCGGTATGATTGGAAGATCGACTCTAACACTTATTATTCAAGTGAACCTCTTCAAGAATCGACTCAAGTCTCATAAAAAAGAGTAGTCAGAATACCCCGAAGCAGGGAAGACCTCAGTGTCCCGATCCTCCTAAATCTGTACATATTTTCATTAACTCTAACCAATAAAAGAGTCCCAGTCAAATCCTCCTCTTCATTCAAAGGGCATGAAGACCGGGAAAGAGGGGATAAAAGGGGACTGTGCTACATTAACATTAACGAAAGAGAGAAATTGCACTTCAACTACAGAAAAACAATTGCGATCAGCGAAGATTTACTAACAAGCCACTAGAAATTCTCCATCCCAAAGCATAATTTATCACAAACTATCTGCTTGCAAAGCGCAGCTTAAAAGGCAATGCTGAGTCTTCTGTCATTTGTTTTATTGCTGGAGGAACCTTAAATACTCTTTCGCTTATTACCTTCTATGATACAGGAAGAACACAACCCAGAGGAGCGTTTTAGTAATTAATCGCAAATTTGAGCAAAAATACTCATGGAGAAAGAATCTCCAGTCATAATTCAATAAATGATGTGTGTATTTAGAGCTCTGAGGCTTATCCGAATTTTTACAGAGCCAATATGTCCTAAATGAACATAAACGGAAAAAGGTAGATTATTGGTATGTCAAGAATCAGAAGCACAGCCTTTGGGGGACTGAACAGTCCGCAAACGTCTAAATATACAATTAAAACAAATGTACAACCATCGAATAGTCCCCTCCTTTCAACACTTCCCTCCAGCGCCCCGATTATTCGTTCTCGTGCATAGACTTTTACAAGAAAGTCACCCTTTTTAAAATCTACCAGCACGTTAGGTATTCTAATCACTAACTGTAAATGCATGCAAGAAGGCATTTGGTACTAAATTCACCACTTCATCTCACCAAATAAGCTTTATCAGGAATTTTTTTATTCATGAAACGCATTGAATGAGGCATGAATCCAGTGCTTTTCAGCCTGTAATGAGAAGTATTAATGTTCGTACTCTCTTTAACATAATTAGTCTTTATGATTAGTACAAGTCCGGTATTTCTTCATTTGTTAACAGCTATGTAGCAGGGTCCAAGGTTAGGGTAAGTGATAAAGGTAGATGCCGATTTGAAAAATTCTATTACGAGTCTACAAATTGAGCTATTCGGTGGGGATATTTTTATTTCGTGATGGCATGGCTTTATCATCAATCACAAATTCGGACCATTTGGTTTTTTGAATTGGGTGTCCGCTCTTTTCGCTTCTGCAAGTCTTTCTCAAAGTTGCAATAAGCCAAAGTAGTATGGAGAAAAGTATACTTCTGAGGTAAAAAGCGCTAGGAGGTCGCTAGTGTGGCCCAAATACCACGCCAGAGAGCTAAACTTCAATCTACGTGGACCAAATGGCCCAGGTAGGTAAACATAAGCAAAACGCTGCTTCAATAGCGCAACTCCCAAACAACTTGTATTGGTTTGAAAATTCTGAATGCTAAAAGTTAGTATTGCAGGTAAATACTCAACGAATTGGACTTCCATAGGCTGCGTATTATGCGTAATATTGCGGTAGAGTTGCAAATTGGGCCAACTACTACATTTTGTCACATTTCAAGTTATAACTCATGTTATTTAGCCTAATCAAAACAATTTCAAGTCTTTTGGAACTTTTAGGTTCATTTGGGAAATTCGCCAAATATGAAACACATTCGTATTTTTTATAGTCCTGCCCAATTGTGGAGTTTGGGGTCAATTCTAATTACACAGACCTCTGCAGAGCGTAGATCATTCACAGTATTTTATCATTGTCTGGTGTCAGTGAACCTGTAACGTGGTTCTTTGCTTATCTTCCCATTTGGAATGGAACCACTTATCATTAATTCACAGCAGCTCATTAAGTCGCATTTATATTCCTTTACAAAAAAACTAAGTAGTTCCTTCTTTTACACTAGCAAATCCAACACATAAAACTCAGCCTCTGCCATAAAGCATAAAAAATAATGCTTCTGCACAAATTTTTAATTATTATTTACTGATGTTTTTCCTGAGATCTTCCTAAATTTTAATATGAATTTACGTTAATTTACAAAAAACCCAGAATTTCTAAACACCTTTAATTTTCATGAGCTCGAAGTATGAGCTGGTTTTATATTATTTTTCTCCCGAAACGCTAAATCGTTAATGAAATGTGGAAATAGGTCTTTACTTAATTCTGAGAAGAGGTGGTATCTTCACTAAACAGCCTATTTGAAATGTGCGGTCGAAGGCTCAAAACAATGCGCACAATGCTGTCACCGAAAATCACAAGCACAGGGATAGTGAATGCTACAGAGCATCCAAATAAAATTTTTGTATTTCTTTAAGCGTCTAACATACTCTCGAATTGCATTTTAGCCATCAGACACACACTGGGAATGTAAGGCGGTCACAATGGATGCATGGTATTAAGAGTAAGTTCAACTTTTATACGTGACTGATTATGGGCTTTGTGAATGCAAAAAGGGATCTTGAGGAAAATAAGAAAAGAAGCATAAAAAATGCCAATGATATGGTAGGAGATATGTGATGAAATCCTCATTGAAATGTGCGCTTGTATTAAAAGCATTAGTTAAATTATCCAACAACATTCCAATGTTGCACGCCTAGCATAAGAAGTGTGAGAATTAATTTTAATCCTAACGTCCAACTTTGAATCTGCAAGTCTAATCAACCTTTCAAAATGAGTGGCATCTCATAGTTCAACTCCGTTAGTAAGACAGCCGTTGAAGTGCAGATGAATAGCGCTTCCCTTCCAAAGCTCATCAAATGCGACCGTGTGCCGTTTGCCTGCCATTAAAAGTGATCTGAACCAATAATTACCCCTGCTAACCAACAACCGTAATACTTGTGTTGTCCATGCATCAAATTAACAAATCCATAATCGTCGATTAAAAGCCCTCATAGTGCAAAGTGGTGCATGGGAAATATTTATTAAATCACTGCAGGGGTAATAGTGCCCGATTAAAACAGGCGAGTTTTGAGTTGGTGAAATAACCAAAATTTGACTTCGGGAAGTTAATCTTTCCCGCGTTGAGATGATACATGAATCCACAAAGGCGACAGTCTGGCCTGTTTATTGTCTGTAATGCAAAATCGGAAAAAAAATAACAGAGAGGAAAGCAAAATGTAAAGTATTTGCTGCGAATAAGTGATGATAATGATGTGAATGTTGAGAGCAAAATTTAGTATTCCAACTTGGGGCATGATAGCTGGCAAAACGTACGACAATTTTGCCATGCTCCTTCCACGAGAAGTACGAGGCATAAGAAGTGTCGTTTTTGCTCAAGTAGATGAGGTAATCAGCCAGTTGTCGAATTGATTTAAAATCGTCCACATTTATGTAGGAGTGTGGAGGCAATGTGTTTTCGTAATCCTCCTTGTAGGCACCCAAAACAATGGGCACCATATCATTTCTGCACGTCAGTAAATAAGCCAACATAAAATGCAGTTCTACCCACCGAGTTGCAACAGCTCGGTACCTGCCACCACAATTATATGTCTTTAGGTTGCTTGCAAAATGCATATTTTGAAGACTGTCCATTAGCTAAGTTGTTAAGTGCAACGCAAAAGAATGACTGAGTGTGGTTCAAAGTGATGCATAAGTCAAATCTTCGCACCTCTGAGCAAATGAATTAGAACCAAATAGTGGCCAAATCTGGTCAGCATACATGGATTCCCGTAATACTGATTTTATAACAAGTCACCAAACTGAGATGTGTAGCTAATATAATGTGCCATACAAACCTATTCTTTCTTCATCGTTGAAAGCAACTCTGAGTAGTTTTATAGTCTAAGCAGATTTGGGATGAGATGACAAAGCTGACATGACTCGTGATTGGCAAGGTTATGGCTTACATCAAGGGGAGCGAAACATCTGTGATGCCTACCTCAAGGCATTAATAAAAGCTTTTTCTGTTATGTAGTTTCGGCAGTTGGAATTCTCAAAGGCCAGGTAAAATTTGTATCGCTTCGACAGCCATTGAAAAGGATGTGCGTTTTCCACTAATTCCAAATTCCCACGACCGTAGATATCCACCTGAAGTAAAATAGGTTCATCTTACAATATTTCGCAGTTAGAGCACAAAATTAATACACAAGACCTGTAAGGTTTGGTACTCATTTTGATGAACAACCTGGGATGCAAAGACAAGTCTCTTATGCAAAGAACTGTCTTTCAGAGGAGCCTTTCTTCTTTTAAAAAGAACGAAAGAGAAAAAACATTATTATCATTGATATATCACCTTTTTGTAGGCATTAGGCATCCAAAACAAGTATGGTTTGTGCAAAATATTCCAAAGCAATCAAAAGTAGAACTTCTTTTTTCACGGACGATATACCAGGGCCTGGAGATAGTAGCCATTTAGCACACTTCAGAGATTGTAAATCAAAAAGGCTTCCGAATGAGAAAATTATGCTTAAGCACAAGGTCAATTCGCCACTCTTATTCAGCAAAACTTGAGCTCATTTTGTTTAAACCAAGATTCTACCATATTCCTGAAAATCTCACTTCTAAATTTGCCCTAGTAAATACTGTACTTACTAAAAAAAGAATGAAAATTTAATGGTTCCAAAGCATTTCCTCACCTCTACAAATTTGGAAATTGCCTTTGCAAACTCGTTTCTGTTATTAGTGGGGTGATGGTTGGAAACGACCCAAGCGATCAACTTATCTCTACTTCTATGGAACGGTGGCAGCAGGTGGGTACTGTTTCTTGCTATCATTTGAGCTTTTTCGAACTCCGAGAATTTGTACCTCGGCTTCACGTTACGCACAAATACTGAATAAATATAGGGAACAGGTGATGCTGCCATGAATGAGATAAACATGTCGATCTAGGCAAAGAGACAAAGAATGCAGTTTATAATGATCGAAGCGTGTCTGCAATCAAGCCAAACTGTGAATGAGGCCTTAAGCATTTAATGTACTTCTAAATGTCATAAAGTATGTTCCGCTTCCGTCAGGTAAATGGGAAATTTCAGTTAATTTGAGACAACAAAGAGATGATTACTTGGCTCAGGTGTGGTTCCTCTAGAGATGGCATTAAGAAGGGGCATTCACCGGATTCAAAGGCAATGAGTACACCTTTTTTTCTGAGTTTAACTGCTTCATTAGGCGAAAATTGACTTGAAAAGACTACACCATCCCCCTTACTCAGATTAACATGGCCTCTTGGGAAGTGACACTTATAGCGACATCCGTCGGAGCTGGTAGGGTGGTATATTATCTTTCGATCAAAGTAGATTGAAGGCACTTTGCCAAAAGACAGATCACTCTAAAGAATGAAATTACTAATGTCAAATCACAATGACTAATTGTTTCGTAAAAATAAGGCTTAATACAAACTTGCTTTATTTTTTGAGAATTCGGAAATCCACTGCAGCTGCTCAATAACGTGGCGATAAGAAAACTGATCGCTTTTTGAAGTGTCTCCCTGTATCAAAAATAATGTGTGAACACAGCTCAGCGGTGCTTCCCAGAGGACGCGCATTAATACAATGATTGCCAGTATTCCTATCAACAGTGGGATAGCAATCTCATGGTAAGGCCTTGGCATTTTGCACTAGAGAAGTACACGGCATTAGACGTTGGATTTACAATTTATGAGATTGTCTAGCCAATCGTGGAAGTCCGGATCTCACTGGTTGGTTTAAGCTAATGAAAATATTCAGTCACTTAACGTGAGCAGTCAACAATACTTCCAATTATTAAGTAGAATTTAATCGTTTGCTAGTAATTTAAGGCATCGCTCCTAAAAATGCACCAATCAACGAAACGGGAATCACCACCAAAAGCAGTTGCAATGCATTCCAACACTTTAATTTCCGAGGGTTTGATATCATTACATATCCATTTTACTTGTTTATCATAGGCAAAGGAGTAAGAAATGAATATTTAACCTTGTAAAAAATGCAATTTAGTTCAATTGAATTCATAGATTTTTCCTAATCTACACTTAAACATGCACTTTAACCTTCTCTGATTTCCATTCCTTGGCTTTCGAAAAACCCTGTTTGAATGAAATGATAAACAATGTCAAAATAACCACAATAGATTTTGTAATTTGAGGAAAAAGGATGTGACCGTTTCAGAGAATGGATACGAAAAGTATACAAACTACTTGAAACGTAGGCTTCAACAGTCTACATTTCATCAAACTAGTCTGCATATTATAGACCATGCAGTAGTCTAGTGTGAGCTTAAGTTCCAATCCTTGATAGAAGTGGGCGAAAGGAGAAGAGTTGGAATATCGTAAACGTTTTTGCCATCAATTTTTCCAATTAGATAAAATCGTAAATGTGAGCACTTTTTAGCGTAGGACGTTTCAGGGACGATTGACCTACAATATTTCATTTTACCTAATGCCTGCCGAAGGAGGAATTTAAATGATAGGCTTAATGACTAACTCACTTCATCTTCCCCCATCTTCCTATCAAGTCACCAGAACCTTAGCAGTGTTACTTCACCATCGGCGTTCACAATGCCCAATTATTTCGTAATCTCATCAGCCCATCCATTTTTGGTCTTTTTGTAAACCAAAACTAACTTTTAGGGTAACTAAAAAAGAGAACTCTCGAGTTCCTAAGAG